AAAAAGCGTTGGAAAATATCTTTAAAAATGTTCCACCTTCGTAAGAAAAAACAACTGAATTCGTAAGTGGTTTTTTACTGAGTAACGTATATAAAACCAATTATAATTGGATGATATACTAAAATAATTCCCAAACCAAACGTTCTCTATGATACAAAGTTAACATAACTTCCCTCAGACATGATTTATTTATCAATACTCCTTAATCATAAACATGCAACAGCCTGCAACAGTACCATCATAAACTTGTAGAAACTTGTCTCCCTTTCGCCTTCAATCATTGGTAGCATTCTTTTCTTTAGTTAAATTTCAAAATATATTCATTTACGGCTTTGGGATTGAAAGTCAGTAGACTGGATGTACATGGAGAGGTAGGGACAGTTTGCATGGTTTGTTGTGTATGTAGGGTACACTTTGCGTAATTTGATGTACACATATGTGTACACTTTGCATGGTTTGTTGTGTATGTAGGGTACACTTTGCATGGTTTGATGTGTATGTAGGGGTACACTTTGCATAATTTGATGTACACATAAGGGTACACTTTGCATGGTCTGTTTTGTATGTAGGGGTACATTTTGCATGGTTTGTTGTGTATGTAGGGAACACTTTGCATGGTTTGATGTGTATGTAGGGTACACTTTGCATGGTTTGTTGTGTATGTAGGGTACACTTTCATGGTTTTTTGTGTATGTAGGGATACATTTTGCATGGTTTGATGTGTATGTAGGGGCTTACTTTGCATGGTTTGTTGTGTATGTAGGGGTACACTTTGCATGGTTTGATGTGTATGTGGGTACACTTTGCATGGTTTGTTGTGTATGTAGGGGTACACTTTCATGGTTTTTTGTGTATGTAGGGATACATTTTGCATGGTTTGATGTGTATGTAGGGGTTTACTTTGCATGGTTTGTTGTGTATGTAGGGGTACACTTTGCATGGTTTGTTGTGTATGTAGGGGTACACTTTGCATGGTTTGTTGTACAAATTGGTGTTCATTTTAATCTTGACAGATGACTTGAACCCAACTAGTGTTATATGGTTTCTGATGTAGTTTAATATGTAACTAGGCTGCATTCTCTATAGAACTACAAGCTATGAAAGGAGTCAAGACACAACAGCTGGACGGTATCAGATAAGAACATAAAATTTTGCTGAATAAAAGCACAGCACAACATTTACGCATGGCCAACAATTCGCGAATCTCCTTCCTAATCCTTCGACAGAATAAATTTTGATTAGCTTTCGAAAAGTTAATTCAAGTTGTTGTGTATTTTTTCAACATGCATGTATGCATGTTACAGGTTGGGACTTCTTGCATATAATCTCTGCACTAATAATATATCATCTATTGTGATTACATTGGCAATGGAGCTTTACCATTGGAGAAAAAAAGAAACGTTGTAAATGAAATCTTCAACTACATTGAACGATTAAATTGCGTCAATTCAGCAATACTGTACACGCAAAAAAGTTATGTTATATTGCAGCACGTTATATTCAGAGAAAAATTTCACCTGGAGCAACTGTACAGTCACTGTGAGTGCAGTGTACAATGTTTAAAAGGGAACCGTTCTAAATGTAGCATGGAGGAAAAGTCTGACTTGTTAAAGGCATTAATACCAAATTGGAATCAGGCTTTAGATGGTTTGTTACTACAAGCTGAAACTTTTGTACATTTTGCAAAAAAACTTTAGCATGGTTTGTTGCTCAATATTGCTTAGATTCTTGTTATTTTTCTAGTGTTACATGGCTGCTTGAAGCATATGGAGTTGCTGGTCCGAACAAGAAGTTGGCATTCCAATATTCAACTTGGCTTCAATTCTTTCCGTTTTTCTGATGTTACGTACTTGGGGTACTTAGAGCTTATGGATTTTGTAGAAAATGTATTTCCTAAACGTATGTAAAGTTTTTGATTTTTGTTCATGATACACTGTGTTCCAGTCGCAAATTGGGTATTGTTTCTAACTTTCTGAGAGATTTTTCCATCAAAAATTTATCTGCTATGAACGTCTCTATTTTAACGTGTTTTTCTTGTAAATTTAGTTTGACAAAGCGGAAGATACGTGAACTTATCTATTTAATTATCTACACTGTAGTCACAAAAATATGTTCAAAATGAAAGGACTTAAAACATGAAAAAACTGTAAATTTTTTGAAACGTGAAGAAAGCGTCATATTTTTCCACCAAGTTGCTATGTCAAAATTGTGTAAACTTTATCATTTGTGGTTTAATTGTTACTTTATTGCATTTTTACTCATATTTTTCATTAAGTTTAATGTCTTAAAGCGTTAATAATCGTATAGAAGTCGTAGTTAACAGGGAAAAGTGCATTTTTAATTATTTAACATTACAAGAGAAATTCGTAGCTTTTTTTGTGGTGTGTCACAGGCAATATTTACTGTCAGACAACTTCCAAAGTTGATAGCTAACCACAGTTGCATACACTTTTTCATTCAATTTGAACAATAGCATTTTGATGATAGTCTCTTATGGCTAAATTCCGTCCTAAATTTTCATCGTCTTATTTCTTTGATTTTTTTTGTAAAAACGGTGGAGAAATTAAAGTTATTGCAGCACTTGAAAACAAGAGAATTATGTGTAAGTTTTTTTCAATTCTGGGTGGGGTGTATTCTTGTCAATATTAAAAAATGGGACACATTTATAGTTTGTATTTTCATGATCTTCTCCAAACTCATCGAAGTTACATCTATGTACAAATACTCCGATGATACGTATAACAGTGAACAATTTTATTGGGAAAAATAAAAAATATAAATGCGATAACTATACAGTAATTCCATGGAAATGGGAGTCTTTTTTGTTGCGTTTTTAACCACAAGTAATCCCAATGTCGTTGGGACTAAATCTCGTTGATAACAAGTTTTCAATATTGTCTATGACGAGTTAAGAGACCTTCATATAGTTATGCGTCACGTGAGTTTATTTGTTCAAATGAAGTGGATTTGATGTTTATTTTATTAGCCACTGCTTGGTCTATTGCATTCAATCAGCATATTTAAATTAATAATTTTTCTCGTAATACTTTTTATTTTCAACAGTTATGAAACGTTTAATAATTTGCTAATAAACAAGTGTTTACAAAACGATTACAAGAACGAGTAAGAAAGCATAGAGAAAATGAATGATCATTTATATTCTATAAGAGCTCACCATGGACTCATATTGACAGCGGTTTTCGTATAATGATCATATGGCTAAAATATGGTGAAAAATACGATTAAGAGAAAGTAAATTCCAGTTAAATGGTTTAGAAAATGAAATATTTATCTTTTCTGTTTCGCTGTTTGGACCAAATTTATGGTGATGTATGTGATGAATAACCGACTGTTTTTTTGTGTTTCCTCTAATGTATTTGCTTATTGTAAACATCAAAGGCATTTTCAAAAGCATTCGTGTGTAAAATTTAAACTAAGCCCTTTCAAAACTCCTCCAATCTCCGCCACCAAGGGTCGCCAGGTCACTGTATCTTGCTGTTATCTTTTCAAATTGAGAAAATTTATGTAGGTATGAGGACTTGCAAAACAAGTCATTCTTGTTGTTTTAATGCTTGTAGTCAGACGGTAGTAAAAACCGTGAAGAAGTCAATAGTGTTGAATTACTTGAAGACCGGAGATTTTTGTAAGTTTTCAGACTTAGTTGTATTGTACTCTCATCAATAGTCAATATTAAAACCGGAACGCTTTAAAACGTAAGGTTGAATTTTGCGGATTTTTCATTTATTAGAAAATTCATTGTGTCAGAAGTTAAATTTGATCACATAAATCCTGTCTTTCTTCCTTATTTATATGTCTATTTTCCGAGTACAAATCTTCAGATTATATTTTTAACAGGATAGTTCTTTGCAACTCACCGGAATCAAAGTAAAATTATTTAGGCAATAACAATTCAAACTAAAACCATTTCATAATAATTGGTGTATTTTTGTACAGTTTTATTCTCTAGTCAAAATGCCGATTTTCGATTTCCAAAAACAAGGCAATAACATAGGTTTTACTTTGTTAACGTGTATTCATGACAAAAGTGGTATGATATACGTGGCAGGAAGACCAAACGCAAGCAAATTTTCTTATGAAAAGAATATGCTTGGAAATGATTTCAATACTTAGAGTTATAGGCTAAGTTTATTGCATAAAGGTAAAGCACCTTATTGATGAGAATCAATCTTTTAAGATAGTTTATCATTAACCAATTATCTATGCTGCATTACTGCAATCTCGAATAGATTAAATGCAAATTTTATCAAATGTATATCTTTTGAAGCTTCCAAAGATTTAATCATGTGCTTTTTCCGTATACTATCTAACTAAGGCCAACGGATTATAAGAATTTGATTCTTGGTACGTCTTGTAATTCTCTTTTGACACAGATTCATCGCGCTGTAGCCTGAACTTTGGGGTTTATAATAAGTTTGTCATGTAAGTTGCAATTTACAATGCATTGTGACGTGTGGGTACCTCCCTATTTGAAAACTACATACGAATTAAGATTGGACTGCACCGAGGGTTTTGTACTACGAGACATTTTAAAATTTTTCGATCCTGGTCAACCTCTTATATTTCTTTTTTAAAAAAATTGGCGCCTTTATTTTGTTGTTTGGTTTTCTTTTCTTAGAAAAATCATTTACTATAAATTCATCAATAAAACGCTGAGGATTTTTCAAAGCACTTTAGCTACTGACGCATCTTTGTTTAGGCAAGCGCAATTTTGCTCAAATATGTATTAGACACGAGTTATAGCAAATGTCCCAATTTATATATATGTTTATATATTTAAATTGTGACACATTCGTAGTTTGATTGAATTTTCATGATCTCCAAACTCATCGGAGTTACTTCTATATACAAATCCTCCGATGATACGTATAACAGTGAACAAATTTATTGGGGAAAATATAAAAAGTATAAATGCCATAACTATACAGTAATTCCATCGAGTTGGGAGTTTTTTTTGTTTCGTTTTTAACCACAAGTAAGGTTACAGATATCGTATGGACTAAATCTCGTTGATAACAAGTTTTCAAGATTGTCTATGACGAGTGAAGAGACCTTCGTATAGTTATGCGTCACGTGAATTTATTTGTTCAAATGAAGTGGATTTGATGTTTATTTTATTAGCCACTGCTTGGTCTATTGCATTCAATCAGCATATTTAAATTAATAATTTTTCTCGTAATACTTTTTTTATTTTCTACAGTTATGAAACGTTTAATAATTTGCTAACAAAACAAGCGTTTACAAAACAATTGCAAGAACGAGTAAGAAAGCATAGAGAAAATGAATGATCATTTATCTTCTATAAGAGCTCACCATGGACTCATATTGGCAGCGGTTTTCGTATAATGGATCATATGCTAAAATATGGTGAAAAATGCGATAAAGAGAAAGTAAATTCCAGTTGAATGGTTTAGAAAATGAAATATTAATCTTTTCTGTTTCGCTGTTTGGACCAAATTTATTGTGATGTATGTGATGAATAACTGACTGTTTTTTGTGTTTTCTCTAATGTATTTGCTTATGGTTCACACCAAAGGCATTTTCGAAAGCATTCGCGTGTAAAATTTAAACTACGCCTTTTAAAAACTCCTCCAATCTCCGCCACCAAGGGTCGCCAGGTCACTATATCTTGCTGTTATCTTTTCAAATTGAGAAAATTTATGTAGGTATGAGGACTTGCAAAACAAGTCATTCTTGTTGTTTTAATGCTTGTAGTCAGACGGTAGTAAAAACCGTGAAGAAGTCAATAGTGTTGAATTACTTGAAGACCGGAGATTTTTTTGTAAGTTTTTCAGACTTAGTTGTGTTGTACTCTCATCAATAGTCAATATTAAAAACCGGAATGCTTTAAAACGTAAGGTTGAATTTTGCGGATTTTTTCATTTATTAGAAAATTCATTGTGTCAGAAGTTAAATTTGATCACATAAAGCCTGTCTTTCTTCCTTATTTTTATGTCTATTTTCCGAGTACAAATCTTCAGATTATATTTTTACCAGGATAGTTCTTTGCAACTCACCGGAATCAAAGTAAAAATTATTTAGGCAATAACAATTCAAACTAAAACCATTTCATAATAATTGGTGTATTTTTTGTACAGTTGCGGTTTTTATTTGAGTAATTCCATAAAAATCAGAAAATATAAAATATTCAACAATCCTATAGAAATAAAAGCCTACATTTGTTGCAATACTTTTTAATAATATTATCATTCTTAAATGTTTCATATATGCATTGCTTCAGCTTCTGAAGAAAAGAAATCTTTGCTATATCTACTAAATGATAATGACAGTGATGCTGATATTGGTATAACGTCTACATCAGAACCTTGTAAGTAATGGAATTTTATATGCAAATATTTACACAAACGTAATCTTTATTGTCTTTTGAAATGTTAAGTACAAACAAGAATGCAATGTAACCATTTAGATTCGTTTATATCTTCCTTATTCACATACTTTTGTTAACGGTCAAAAATGTGAGATGTAATGAAGAGTGAAATAACTCAGCAAGTATTCCTTTTATCTTGCTATGATGTATTAACCGTATAATGTAATGCATTTATTTCCAGCTTCTTACGAAAAGATATCTTTGCCATCTCCCATGAGTGACAACGACTATGATGACATTGACCAAACTCCTTCTACAGCAGTACTTGGTAAGAAATTGTACTTTGTTAGCAAACATTTGCACAAACATCTTTACATTCCCTTGAAAAGTCAGAAACAAACAATTAAGAGTCGTTTATATCATGCGTATCATTCATACGTTTGTAAAGGGTCAGATAAGAGAGTTTTAGAATTTTTCATCATTTATTAATTGCAATGCATTGCATTGCATTGCACTGTTATTTAATTGCATTCCTAGAAATTAATTTGATTTATCTATTAGATGCTAATAACAGTAAAGTCATCATTGGTGTTTTGCCTTATGTACACATTTATAATACTACGTGAATGCAACTTAGAAAACTCTTACAAACATTTTGGAATATCTGAAAGTTGTCTTATAGGTTATTATCATTCTATCATCATGTCTATTATCATTTGCAAGCGTCTCAATTCCTTTTGGATATTTATTTTTCTGATTATCAATTGAAGACATCTAAAATTTGCATTACCAATCCGATTATCATTTGTTATTATTGGTAACTAAATTACTTTGATTTTAGGCTTGACTAAAACTATAAATAATGTGAATTAAATGTAGAAAGTATTAAAGGGAAAACGTACTATAGTAAAAAGTAAAAGTATTCAAAGGCATAACGAAATACCTATAGTTAACATAATTTTTTAAAGATCGTTTTTCGATTTGCTAAAAATACGCCCAGATTTTTCCTAGTAAGACCATCTTACACAGCAGTCACGACGAAATTTGTGAGATCAAGTTTGTTTACAAAATATATGACACTTAGTCGTAAACAAACAAACATTTACAGCTCCCAAAAATTTGTTAAAAAGTTAAATAGCTAGAACGGAACTTTCTTTTTGTATGGTGTTTAACAAATAAAATTTGCAATATCTACTAAATGATAATGGCAGTGATATTTCAGTGTGAAATAACTCAGCAAGTATTCCTTTTATCTCGCTATGATGAACTAACCGTGTAATGTAATGCATTAATTTTCTTTTTCCGTAGATGAAGCTTTCAGTCCCAACACGAGTGACTTTAAAAATACGTTTTTAACCAAAGATTGCAAATTTGAAGATTGGGTGCATGAAAAATTGAAAAGGTAATGATTTCTTATCAGATTTAGTATAATTTTGATTCATTTGGCTTGACAAGCCGCCATCATGCTAATTTTTTGTCGAACACCATGACGTTTTCACATTCACAGTTTTTCTTGGCGTTGTTGCAAATATGGCATAGCCTATCCGAACAAAGACATGCCTTATCTTCATTTGTACCTCGAAGTGGACAAAGAAATGAGACAAAAGAATGTTTTGAAACAAGAAATCAATAAGATATTTAATGGCAATGCTTCAGAATACATTGAATTACGTTTTGTCGGCTCATCAGACGAAATAATAATTCGACCACTATCCAACATGGTTCACTCAAAGCGCGACGATGAGCCTAATGAAGAATCCCGTGGCACGTTGACTCTGTTCAGCTGTAAAGATGGAAAACATTACGCGTTGACTTGTCTTCATGTTGGATATGGAACAGTTCCGAAAGGTGCCGATCAATTCTTTTACATTCGAGACAAAATTAAAAATGATAAATTGGCATTTGAGAAATTTCTACAAAAAAACAAGTACTCTTATACTCATAAAAACAGCATAAAAATACCTCTTGTCGAGCTATTTCATTACTCATTTGATCTTGAAACCGACATCATGGCAATCTTAATTGATGACAAAGAAAGTGAATTTACTGCGGCTGAAATAGAGATGCCGAGTTCTTTTGATGCTGTCTTTGATAATTTGTTATCAAAGGCAAATGAAAAAGTTTATAAAGTTGACGACGAGTTTGGCTTGAACGTCATTGCTGACCTCAGTCGTAGCGTTTTTGACAACAACAACAAAATAGTGTTTCGTGACGTAGTGGCGGTAAAGAGTGATAAGGAATTCCTTCGGCCTGGAGAGTCTGGTTGCCTAGTGTATTATTATGATGAGAACAACAAAAAGATACCATTTGCGTATGGAGTTGCTGCAGTGACCAAGAAAAACGAGACGTATTACGTTTGCATGAGATTAAAAGATGGTTTAGAAAATTTGGGGCTTCTCGAAAATGTCTCCTTCAAAGACTTTTCAGGTGGTACTAAATGATTACTCTGTGATGAACAACATATATATGCATCATTTAAAACCTATGTACTCCATTAACTTATGTTTATTTTTATATTATTTTTACAGGCATTAATTTGTTTTGAATTTACTCATTAATTTAATATTTGCGCAATTTTTTTGCGAAAGTTCCTACTGTAGCTAAGAACTTATTTTAGAAATGTCCTTATCTTCAACATGATTTCCGTCGCTACATATCATGAAAAGCGTGCATTCAAAAATTATAATTATTAGTGATCGAGCTGTATTTTACAACTAAATATAGCTATAGAACTATATTTGCATCTGTGGCTAATATAAAGGTACAGAAGAAAAAATAGTCAAGTTTTACAGACACCAGTTTCTGAGTAAATTAATTGAGTACTTTCAAAAGTAGTTTTGTCTTTCTGGCTGCAATTTTGAGTTTGCTTTAATTAAATTAGTTTCCTTTTGCTTCCATCTAGTAGAAAATAAAAGAGTAAAAGGAAGGAAAAACAAAGAAAACCCAAGTCATGACGGTATTTGATAGCAACAAACATATTTGTGTGTGTGGAGGTAGTCTATTGTGCATTGTTTTCGTGGATTAGTTTGAAGTGGTATGCTTTTATCATTTGTTCATTTGTTCAAAGTTGTGAATAAGTCGTTTGTAGGTGCCTGTAATTGTTGTGATCTGTTCAGCTTCTTTATAGGTTTTGTTCTGAGTTAGTATAGCCACTTTTTAATGTGAATAGTCTGTATTCAGTGCTGTATGTGATGAATTATGCCGAGTCCTTGCAATCAATGTTGTGATTTGTCATTCGATGATGTTCGGGAATGTAGTTGGTGTTATAAAACGTGTTTTAGATAGTTATTCTCGTGGTGTAGAGCGTCTGTTGAATCACAAACGAGTTGTGCACTTATTTTTAATGTTCATTCGTGGTGGTTTTCTGTCATATAGAATTGTAACATAGTGGTCTAGTGTGTGTTGATTTGTTGTATTTACTGTAGCGTTTAGCGTTACTTACAGTAGAATGGTAAACAATACAAGCAGTTACACGGAGCAGCAATAGACTCAACCGTCTCTGTTGTAGTTGTTATAAAATGTTCATGTAAACTGTAAAGGGTGCGCTCACTACCTACCAATACGTACTACTTTTTTGGGTTCCGCTTGGTAGACGATATAATCACTAAATCAGTAAACTTTTATCGTTGTTTTTGTGAAAGTCGTTTTGCTAAGAATTTATTTTTTTACTTTTTTACATATACATTGAATTTAGTATTTTTGAAAGATGGATTGGATATGGAAGAGGACGAAGATGTTGCTCAAAGTCTAAAGCTGGATTCTTTCCATAAATCATCAATACAAAGCAGCGCGGGTGGTTTTGTGTGGAAGGTTGGTGACATGGATAGGTTTCGTCGTTTTTTGGTGTTGGGAAGCGATAAAGGCACTTTCTACATTGACGAAAGAACGTTAGGCTTAGAAAATGCGACAGTCGTCGTGAATCTTTTGGAAGCAGGAAAGGGTGTTGAAGTTGTCAATGAAATAGAGAAGTATAGCATTGAAGGACGAACACTGAGGCAGCAAGCCATCATGTTTTCTCTTGCTCTTTGTGCCCGGAAAGGAGATCTTGCCACGAAAAGACAAGCATACGATGCTTTACCCAAGGTCTGTCGAATTCCGACGCATTTGTTTATGTTTATTGAGTTCTGCAAGTTGTTCAGTCAGCCTGGCAAAGGTTGGGGTCGTGCCCATAGGAATGCCATAAAACGATGGTACAAAGAAAAAGATCCATGGAAACTGGCGATGGATCTCACCAAATATCATAAGCGTGAAGGATGGTCACATCGGGATGTTGCAAGGTTAATGCATCTCAAGCCAGAAGGAACTGATGTTTCTGATGAGCTGTTTGTGATAATGAAGTATGCTGTTTGTGGTTGGCAGAAGCTTTTTGAATATTTCTTTCCTGAAGATAGGACAGTTCTACGTCTTTCAATTGGAGAAAATGGCAAAGCAATGTTGGTGTTTTTTAAGGCAGTTGAAAATTTAAAATCATTGCAAGAGGAGGCAAGAGTAGTTGAACTGATAAATCAACATGATCTCGTTCGAGAACATATTCCAACACATTGGCTTAATTCTAAAGAGGTATAAACATTTCATGTTTTATGTCCTTTCTACGCACAGTTTTGAAAGTGTAATCAAGGGCAGTGTTTATCATTTGGAACGATTTTAGGTACAAGTTTTTCAAATATGTATAAAACATATCAAAATATTTTTGTTCTAAGAGATTGCTTATGTTAATCATTAGCATAATGATCACATATTTATTAGTTATAATTATATCCTCTTTTTAAGGTTTGGAGGGCTCTTGCTCAAAAAATGCCAATGACTGCAATGCTTCAAAATCTTGGCAAAATGACAATAGTTGAACTACTAGACGAGCAGTTGGCATTGTCCCGTATATGTGAGAAGTTACTCAATGAAGAGCAGTTGAAGAGAGCTCGTATTCATCCATTCAATGTTTTGGTTGCACTAAAAACCTACATGGATGGTCATGGTGATAGGGGAAGACTGACATGGAACCCAAATGAAGCTATTGTTAATGCATTGGAAGAAGCTTTTTACTTATCATTTAAGGTTTGCAATGTCTTCTTTCATGATTGACTAAACATTGTCTTATGATCAAATCACAAAATATTTTTACTTTTTTGTTGTGAATTTGTTATTCAGTCTAAAGTGGTTATGAATATATCATCAAATACCATGACCAGTCACTTTTCTAAATTAAAATTATTCATTGAATAGGTGCATTAAACTGCAGAAGTCTAAAATGTAAATTTATGGCTATGCTTGCTAAAAAATTTAAATTGCATAACATTAAAGCACTAAAGTGAATGGTGAATTCAGCCAACTCAGACCTACATGTTAAATAACCTAGATGTTGAAGTTTCACAGCCCTTCTTAACTTAGCAATGGAAAATTGATCTTCTCTATTTTATTGCGTAGTTAATTCAGCCAACAAACAAGAGATACATGTTGGCATTGGATGTCAGTGGTTCTATGTCTTATTCTGGTTGTGCTGGTACGCCATGTTTAGCGCCATGTGTGGCTGCTGCAGCAATGTCCATGGTTACAGCTCGGACCGAAAGCAAACATCTGTTTGTTGCTTTCTCTTATAAAATAGTTCCATTAATGATCAGCAGTGACATGACATTAGATGAGGTGCTAGAACTTATGGAATTGGTATGTAGTATGAACTTAAATTAATTTGTATCGTTTTTATTACATTAAAAACATAACCTTGTTCCTGTTTTCCATTCTCTAGATACCAAATGGAGGAACAGATTGTGCTCAACCAATGTTGTATGCAATTAAGAACAATCTAGAGGTGGATGTTTTTATCGTTTATACTGACAGTGAAACAAAAGCTGGGTTCATCCACCCAAGCGAGGCCTTGAAAAGGTATCGTCAGCTTTCTGGTATTCAAGCCAAACTCATAGTTGTTGCTATGACTTCAAATGGTTTCACAATTGCTGACCCAGAAGATATTGGAATGCTGGATATTGTTGGCTTTGACTTAGCTGCACCACAAGTGATGAGAGAGTTTATCTCGCGCTAATAGAACAGCAAATGATTTCTTCACAGATATTTTTGTGGAAATGTACAATGAATACAATCTTACAATGTCTGAACAATTTTGCTTGTCCTAAAGAATACATGAAATGTTTTATCTATTTAATGGTATTTGATACATAAGTAATATGCAATGTGACATTGCTTCATGTGAACATGCAGTGAACTATAGTTGTGCTGTTGAAAAGTGCACCAGATCAAAGACTTCAACATTTTATAGTATGTTTTAGTTAAGTGCTTCACTGATATTGATATTGGAACATCGGTATCGACGTATAGACTCTAAAATAGAATTATTGGTATCGGTATTTTTCTTGCGCACAATACCGATATTTAGACATTTGATTGAAAAAGAAATACAATCAAAATGAATCACAGTTTAACAATACTAAATATATTACCTTTAACAATTTTTGTTAAATTAATACTACTTAAATTTGTTAGTTCTACATGATATTAACTTCCATTGACAATTGTGTTGTGAAATAGGGTTGCGTGCAAAGAGCCACTTTGAATTTTATATTTTTATATCAAATGAATCGGTGAGCACAAAGTGGCATACTTTATGATGATTAAGCTTCGTAAAATGGCATAAAATATCGATATCGGCACAATAACGGCGTTTTCATTTCGTTAAACGGCATATCTGCAAAATCCTATTTCGGTGCATCACTAGTTTAGTTCAGCTAGACTGTAGAAATTCATGATTTAGCTGCATCTTCAATTACAATGTTTTATAATTGGCTTATTAATTTAACAAAATTAATAAATTAATTTAACAATGTCACGTTTTGTAATGTATTCAATTCATGAAACTACTAACGATTGCCAATTAACACAGCGAGGAAAAACCGAGGAACGTGCAGCGTGGTATCTTGACTAGCAGAGTAAACTGATAGCTTTCAAGGTAATGATTTGGAGTTTTTAAACTCGTTGCAATACTACATGTTAAGTAAAATGTAATCTTGTCTGTAGCATTTCGTATTTTAGCTTGTTCATTTACGCAAATGTAGTGTACATGTACCAGATTATGTCTTAATTAGAGTGGAAACAATGTTTAAAAGACAGGCTGAACTTGTTTCATTGAAAACCTAAATCAAAATCTCAAGTACAAGACAATGTAAATTGAAAGAATGTTATATGCAGTGCGGTGTTTTGAAATTAAATAAAGATATGATCTTCGCACTTTGCTGGATAATTTAAGCAATTGTCTCATAAACCTGAAAAATTCAGATGACTCAACGGGATTCGAACCCATGACCTCTGCGGTGCCGGTGCAGAGCATAACAAATTGACCTGCTTTCCACTGTGTGACTTCATAGCTCAGTTGGTTAGAGCACTGCACCGGCACCGAAGAGGAAACGAAAGCTTCACTCACCTGGCGAGATATATTTTTCTTGAGCAACATAAACAACTGCTGTAACACATTTTTGATATATACCATGCTCAAGTCAAGCAGGATTTTCACACATCCAAATAGGTAGAACCAGTCTCTTGTATTGCTAGAGAAGCATAATCATTGATATAGATTTATACATTATATTTGCTTATTTGATCAGTAACCAATGATTGATCATCGTTTTCTGAGACAAACCGTGATCGACCTGTCATTCTTAATACTGAAGAGTATCGTAGTATAAATGAAATACATGCTCACTTTGTTTGATTGGTCGTACATTGTTTCGTGAATGCTTTAGTTTAAACTCTGATGATGTGGGTAGATATCGATAAAATATTTTAAGTGTATGGACGCAACTGCTTTATCTGATTGATAATTTTCGAGTTAGGATCTCAAGCTGTAATTGAGGCAAGTTTTTCGCTGTGTTGAGGAAATTTGGGAAAACCAGTTCTCGGTAGTGACGTTAAGGCAAAGGATTTCAAAAGATCGGCTAGAAGAAATCATTCCATGGCGTTTGATTTGATTGAAGAGAAAAGAATTTCCGAGTCAAATCCCTAAAGAAGGTGGATAAGGAATATTCGATCTTTCGAAAGATGTTGTTGCGAAATTGTAGTTACTTGGCGGTAATATCTCAGTTATCAAAGATGTCGTTGCTAGATTATGTTGAAGTTAGCAAATCGTTTTGATAAAAGCAGGTGTTTGTAGAATAAATGATTGTGATGCATAATAATTTTAATAACTTCTGCTAATGTCAATGCTAATGTTCCACACTTTGCTTATTGCCTTTGTTAAACTTTTTCGGTTATTTTGCTGGTACTTACTTCACCTCTGTGGTAATGCCACGAAGGGGCTGCAAGACAAAGAACAACATACACAATCTCCTTGTGTGACGTTGGCATTTGAAGCTCCTCAACTGATATGAAAATCATCTTTTTAATCACAACCATGAACCATCGGCTAAGTAATTCACTTTTAAAATCACTATTTCTAAAAGTGGATGATGGTATGATGAAAGGTTTGTAATCAGGGATGATAAAGATGGCCGTAAAGATGACAGTGAAGTGAATGATTTCACAAATGTGATAAATTTTAAAATCTGAATGAATAATTCGAGATGTCATACAAATCGTTTCAACTCATTCCCCAGGGATCAACATGTCATTGGAGGAAGCTGCCATATTGGTGTTCCAAGCAAAAGAATTTCATTAGAATATTTTTCAATTAGTACACCAACATGGCAGCAATGACGTTGGATGAAAACGATCTTTGTACATTTATTTAACATGTGGTCGTCAAAGTTGCTTCGTGCATGTTTGCGGGCATGAATTTTGTAAAGGTCAATCGCCCTCTTATGGCATTTTTCCTAAAAACAACTTTAGCAAAACACGGGAAAACTAAAAGCAGGATAGCCAACAGTCTGGACTACATCCCGTGTTTTATTCATCTCTACAATGAACTTCGTTATTTGTACAAAGTCAATTTGTCAATTTATCCACATTTCTCATGCCTTGCTTTACAAAAGACAATTTTTGCTATTATTCGTGAGTTATCAGTTATTTAATGAGAAGCTTTTCGTCTTGAGAGAAGAATTTTTATCAGATTATTTTTATTTTGATGGCTATTTAAACTACAAATTAAACATAAATGCAGTAAACCAAGTCATTAATCACATAATTTTGGTCAACAACAACTTGCTCGTAATGCAACTCGTCTTTGCATGTTGTCAATCACATTTTTTCCTAACTTTGATCGTTAAGCTCTACAAAAAAAAAATGGCTCAGGAGTCGGGAAGCTATGTACGTTCGGAAGCTTCCAATTTTTAGATTGTGAGCATTTTTTGAGGTTTGATAAAAAATTGAATACATGGTTTATACAGATGTGCCAACTTTTCAATGAGGGTGACATGATGTAGTTAAAGAAAAAGAAAATCGAATCAAATATCAAAAAATTTATTACACCAGTTTAACTATTGTGAATTACCACATAGTTAGCATGGCACACACACAACTTTTCGAAGCCCCTGCGGTTGTATGTATTGTTTTACATGCAAGTGTTTATTAAATATTTCTGGGCTTGTTTTCTTGTTGTACCGACAGAAAATCCCAGAAGAAAAGAGGTGTCTGCTCGAAATATCAACGTGTATGTAAGAAGAACCAAACCTAGTCAATGATATGAGCTTGAGAGTATTTTCCAAAATGTTTTTGTGAATCGATTTAATGCCTTTTGTTCATGTTTTGTACTCCAAATTTTTGGGCTAAGTTATTGGTTGAAAGAACGATTGTTGGCAATGCATTCAGCAGCTTTACCAGTCAATGTTATGTTTTTAAACATAAAAATATAACAACCATCGCCAGCAAGACTTCACTAAAGTGCATCCGTTATCAAAGAAAGGGTTGTCTAATAAGGATGAGGATATTATGTACATTGTCATTGTTAAGAAGAAAGATTTTCAGCATTTTGGTATAAATCATATTATATGATGCAAATGACCAGCTTTCAAAATTCGAACAGCTAGCCCACTGCAGGGCGTTCGTAGCGAGTAGAATGAGACTTATTTATTAAACTCAGGATTTGAACAGAGTTATTTTCCAGAATGCAGTCTATGTTTAAGGTTTTAGCATGTTTGTAGATTCCGGGGACTCTGTAGCATGTGCATAAAAAACTGAAGGAAGTCACGGTCCATTCCTATCTCGAAATACGTTTTTCTAAACAAAATTAAAATCGACTAAAACAGAACATCTCTCCTTGTACCCAGTGCATGGTGTTTCATATGTCGTTATATTTTATAACTGTTTGGGACTCTTACAATTCATTGACTTGTTATCAATTAGGATCATGGGATTGAGACGAAAATCTTCACGGCCATAATTAAAGATAAGTTAGGTGAGCCAGCTGGTAAAGGCTGTTGAGTCTTCAGTGGTCTGGGGACAAGTAAGATGATTACATGAATCTTAATTTTTTTTAAATGGAAACATCGCTTTTAAATGTTGGTTAAATGTTAGCAATAATATAAATAAATATTTACGAAATGAACTTACATGAAAATAGTTTTATAACCATTAAGCTAGTTAAGTAAAGGAGAAATACATTTTTATAGGTTTTATTATCTGTGGATTTTACAATGATTCACAGTTTGTTTATCATCAACCATTCAGGGTGAGTCGGTAGTGACAATATGTATTGGTTTTATGTTTGTTTGTTTTCAAAGCTCTTCTGTTGGTTTTGTACGTATCAGCTTGTGATTATTGTGAGAAGTACTTTACAATTATTTGAATGAGGTAAAATGAGATTAGTTTCAGTAAGATATTAAAGGAAAGTCTGAACAATGTCAGAAGCCAGTGAAGGTAGATTATGAGAAGTATCATGTGACAGGATTAATACCCAGAAAAAATAAAGAATGTCATAAAAATCGTGAGATATTACCTGATATCTGTAATTTCAATAGTGTTGAAGTCAGTTAGATGATGCCATTTTGATGATTTCAGCTTCCTCAATTGTTTAGTTATCACAACTTTACACCAAATGGGTTACTGTGAGTCACTAGGTCATATGATGTTTTTCATGTACATTTAGGGATATATTTCTGGAAAAACATTGGAGAAGTGTTTTGGGACGCTCTGTTTGTGATTATTTCTTTGAAGCCCAAGGAAAGGTAAATGAATATATATGTAAATTGTTGTTTGTGCTTGTTTGGTTGAGAAGTTTTAAGGTACTTTCATCAACGGTTTTCATGTTATATTTGTCTGACAAAAATGCTCCTAAACAAATTAAATATCATCTTTTATGTTCAGGCTACTTCTCCAGAAGACATTCCTCCTGTAATTGCAACAGGATTCAGTTATCTCATCAGTATATTTCGCCATGATCTCTTCTTTGTTTCTGTTGTTGAAAATGAAGGTTTGTGTTTATATTAAGGTTACTTAATGTTTTAATAATGTTTATTTTTAATCAATTGCCTCTAATGCAATCAAGACATTGATTGCTAGTTTTACATTAAAAAGTATGCATTACATTGCAAAGAAGTGTTATCACTCAATAAAAGGCATTGCATTAGGCATTCTTTGTGGTAGA